TGTGTGTGTGTGTGTGTGTGTGATTTGAGCAGATAGGGATCTTGAATCTACTTGGAATCCATTTAAGTGAAGCAACAAAAAAAAAAGCAACAGCAAATTAGAAGACAGCTGTGACTTTCGTGAAGTAAAAGAGACAATTTTTTTAACAAAAGGAAGAACAAAATATGTAACTTGCAAAAACCTATATTTATTTATTGTAATACACAGCTTGAAGCAAAATCAAGAAGTATCTATGGAAACTGTAATGACTGCAGCAGTTACAAAAGCAATTTTAGTTATCAAATAACATGTGAAAATATAAAAACTAACACAAACTGTTAGTAACATTTACGAAAGAGGTAACCTTGGATTGTCATATTATGCAAAACAGCTGAGGTATTACGAGGTTTTGTAGTACAATCTGACTTACAAACGTCGATCTCATCTGATTTGCCTCCTTCGTTGATGAAAATTAAAAGTAATTTTTAAGACACGTGAATTTAGATACTGTTGCTGAATTTCTGCTAAAAATAAAGAGACTAAAACGAAGTATGATTGTCTGTTGACACATTTGGCTGGCTATGATTTCTGAAAGAAAAGAAAATGTGTGTGTATTAATTTAATGTATTGTACAGGGTTTCTAAAAAAGGGGACGGGACCCATTCAAATAGCAATAGCTCGTCATCTTGGCCCCAATTTTAACAAAATCTCGAAAGAATGAAATTCAAACAGGGGTATTTCAAATGTGCAAATATGAAAAACACTCACCCCCTCATAAAAACAAACAAAAAACAACACCCCCCCCCTCCAAAAAAACAACAACAACCCCCCTCCCCCCCCAAAAAAAAAAACACAAAAAAAACACGGAAAAAATTGACGGATTAACGATTTATCGACAATTTAAAACAATGTCAGACAAAATTGGGTCAAACGTAAAACTTTACCAACTATATTGGGCGTGGCTGGCTCGTTCTGGTTTCAGGACGGGACCCGGTAAAACAAATACCGTCACATTCGAATGGATACCTCACTGTGGTGAGGACGTTTAGGAGAAGTTTGGGGAGGAGGACGAGAAAAAATTATGCTCTTGAGGAGGAGAAAATTATTATGCTGTTGAGGAGAAATTATGTTGTTGAGGAGAAGATATTATGTTGTTGAGGAGAAGATATTATGCTGTTGAGGAGAAGAAATTATGCTGTTGAGGAGAAGATATTATGCTGTTGAGGAGAAGATATTATGTTGTTGAGGAGAAGATATTATGCTGTTGAGGAGAAGATATTATGTTGTTGAGGAGAAGATATTATGTTATTGAGGAGAAGATTTATGCTGTTGGGCATGACTGGTTTCAGTAGCACAGAGCCGAATGTTTGACAGAAAATAAGATGATGTATTAAATTTGAAAAATCTACAAAGTCTCAACCCTTTTTTATTCCCTGCTACTTACAATGATGATGATGATGATGATGAA